CAATGAACAGAATCGGCCCAAGGGATTCTGAGATACGACTCCGGACGAACGCATGGATGCACGGATGCACAGAGACCGAATTATAAGTCTTAGTTTTCGGACTTCGTCTGAATGGGGACTAATTAACTAAATCACTTCTATAGTGACATATAAGTACTAATGCCACAACACTATATTAGATATATTAATTATAAAATTCATCAGAAATTCCTAATACATAATCTGCACTCGTAACAAAATCTTTTCAGAATTTTCATAAGATTATATCAAATGTAGAAATATTTTTTAAGATATATCCCAATTTCAATAGATGATTTGAACAAATTATGATTACTGACTATGATTACTAACACAAAAAGAAAATGTTTCCCACTAAACTGGTTTGGAAATCTCAAAATCACCTATAGTATAGGCACAAATCTATTTTTAGGTTAAAAGGGGAGAGTAGGTACAGTAGCAGTAATGATGTCCTAGAAAAATATTGTCATAAACATGTCATAAACATGCAAGTTCTATTATGAATGGTAAATTCCAGTAATCAAAGGATACAGTTCGCATCGCCGGTTGTATTAGTAGGTGGACCAGGTAAATTCAGTATCACCAGTTTAGCATCATGTGACTTCTCTACAATCACTTCGTTTAGACTCACCGCTGTGTGCATGCGTCGTACGTTCAAGGCATGCCTGTGGAGAGAGCACAACGCAATAAAATATAGAAAATGTATGCAACAAACTAAAGGTCTTTATGTCTTTACTGTCACTTAATACCATGTACAATACAGTCTCTGTTAATTTCAGTCATAAACATTGATCAAAATATCTATGTTGAATATAAAATTAATTATTCAAGAAATATACCAATCAATGTTTTTGCAGAAAAAGTATGTGAAATTAACATAAACTTACGGTTTGATATGAAGTAAATTTTTATAGTATTCTTTGATTTCCCTCGCTGGTCTTGTACTAGGTTTTCTTGGCAGTTTCTTATGCTCTGCAGCTGGTCTGCTTGGAGTATCTGTAGTTTCACTGTCAACATCAATGGTTGCTATGGGAACCTTACATCCCTCATCCGTGTCGCTTTCAACATCTGCATCATTACCATCCATTTTGCTCTCGGTGTCTGTCTCAGTGGCGCTGAACTCCCCCGGCATTTCTCCATTTTCTTCCAGGCCTTCCATCAATCCTTCTTCGACTAACTGTGCTTCATCTGCGGCTGCCAGTTCTTCCATTTTCACTGATTCATTGAAACTATCTTGCTTTTTTTGGTCCTTCATTGCAGGATGTCTTTGGTCCAGAAGACGTTGAACCTAATTACAAAATCAAGTCAATTTAAATTGTTAATAGATATAAAATATACTGTATTTGCTCTATTAGTTGCACATGTGCTTTAATTTATGTAAATAACAGACTTGTTCCTATCTTCAAAAATTAGTAATATTTTAATTGATGATTGATAATTGATGATACAACAAATGCGATTTTTTTTTTGCACTTCTCATTAAAATGCGCTTTTAATAGGGCAAATATGGCAATGAAATGGACCATACACATCCAATGAATCATGTAAGTTTTTACCTAATACTGTAAAAACATTATTCACTGGTTTTTAATTTTGCTATTTTAGCTGATAAGTAAAATTCAAAATTAAATCTATGTGAACATGTAAAATAACAACAGAACTCATTGTTTCTCTGCTAAATTCATGAACATAAAACCCAGTGAAATTACTCAAAACACCATGAAATTTAATCCCAGTGAAAAAATGGTTTAACAGTATAGGACCATATCAGACTTGACAGTGGTTAGCACATTTTCATTAAACCTTTGAATTCCATAGTCAAATTTCATTTCCATTCACAAAATAGAAAATATTTGATTTTTCAAAGACTTTTTTCACAAATTTTGATTAAGACCTATAGCCAATAGAAATTCAGGTCCATTTTGCCCAAAAATGAGAAACAAAATTATTGAAAAATTCTTGAAAATAAGCAAAATGTTATACCAAAATTATATCAACTTTCTATTCAACAGGTGTCTGATTTGCATATGACAAAACAAAACATTGATATCAAAAAAACAAAGGCGATTGATAACAAATGTCTGAACCAGCTGTCATGAGTTGAAATGGTCAACTCATGCATTATATGATGTTTTGTTTTTTTTAATAAGGGAAGGTAGAGAGAAGTAAATAAAGTTATACAACATTCTAGGAAATCAACAAATAATAGAACACCTAGGGAGGTCATATACTTAACACAACATCTAGGGAAGTCATACAACTACAACATCTGAGGGGGAGGGGGGTCATGCACCTAAAAAAAACATGTAGGAGGTCATATACTTAACACAACATCTAGGGAAGTCATACAACTACAACATCTGTGGGGGAGGGGGGGTCATGCACCTAAAAAACATGTAGGAGGTCATACACTTAACACAACATCTAGGGAAGTCATACAACTACAACATCTGTGAGGGAGGGGGTCATGCACCTAAAAAAACATGTAGGAGGTCATACACTCAACACAACATCTAGGGAAGTCATACAACTACAACATCTGTGAGGGAGGGGGTCATGCACCTAAAAAAACATGTAGGAGGTCATACACTCAACACAACATCTAGGGAAGTCATACAACTACAACATCTGTGAGGGAGGGGGTCATGCACCTAAAAAAACATGTAGGAGGTCATACACTTAACACAACATCTAGGGAAGTCATACAACTAATACAACATTCAGTGAGATCATACAACTAATACAACATCTACGGAGGTCAACAAAGATATTAGGGGTCAACCATTTGAAATTATGGGGGGGCTGGAAAAATAGGATTTTTTTTTAATATGCCGCCCTTTCTTTGCTGCAATACCTTGCATGCATTTTTTTTTCTCAGTGGCAGGCTTGTAATTTTTTTTCAACAAATCTACCCCTCCCATGATTTCAAATGGCCAACCCCTTACATCTGGAAAGGTCATGGTCATACACCTATTTCAACATCTAAGGTCATACAATATCTAGACAGGTCACCAGCAGACAACATTAAGGAGGAAGGAGTAATGTAAAAAAATGAATTGAAATAAAAACTAATTGGTATGCATATTTAAACCAATATGACTTGCCTTTGAACAAAATTTTAACAAAATCGGTTAAGTGTGTCATAGATCAGGGGGGACTTGACACCTTAACAATAAAACAAAATGGCCGCCAGTTGGTTACCAGGTAAATTTCGATGAAATTCAAAAACAAATCAGTCAGTCGGTCATTTTGAATCAAATCTGATCAGTAATCCACCACTGGTCATTACTAATTTGCCTGAGAAATGCTCAAACTTGACAAAAATTATTGTAACAAAAAAAAAAATCCATAAAAATGTATGCCATTATGACTTTTCATTGTACCACTATTCAAACAAAATTGGTCCAGGCCGGTCTGAATGAACAAATAAACGAGCGAGATCTACTGTACAAGTTCCCTTTCCGGATGACATCCAACAGGAAATAAAAACATCACAATGTATCAGCCAGCAAACATGTTTGGACAACTGACTCTGGTTGAATGCTCAAGCAAATGATGTATGTTAATTATCAAACAAATTATGTAAATTTTAATGGGGTTGTTAGTATCACTTTGTATATTACTAGATCTACTTCATAGGGTAGATAACCATGCCAACTCATAGCGTGGGTGATGACACCCACACAGCACTGATTTCTCAGTACACATGGGCAGTGAAATCATTTTTGTGATGAGAATGTAGTAGTGATAACAGTGATAATAGATTGTGTTTTTGTGACGTATCTCACCTCCGCAGTCAGCATAAATCCCTGCAGTATTGAACATAAAAGGAAATAAACACTGAATAAAAGAGTTTTTAAAAAAACAAGACAATTTATAAAAGTCTTGAGAAGTTTTAAATCTTCAGGTCAAAGGTTGTAGAAATGCAGGTGACATCTGTAAACTGGTATTTTTTTTCACAGCTATAAATTGTTATGTTTTGAGAGTTTTTATGACAGAATTCAGTGAATTAAATGTTCACAGCTACAAAGTTTTGCGATTTCTCTCCACTCACAGAATGTGAAATTAAATTTTTTATTTGCATCAAAAAAAAACATGTTCCTGTTGAATGTTGTTTTCATTTAACACTAACAAAAAAAGGTTGCTTTATGAATTCTGCCACCAGAGGGAGCCAAACATAACTACATGTGTATAGTTATATTAATTATCAGACTTAAACTTCTCAAACTGAGGAGGAATTAAAATAGAGTGAAGGGAAGTGAATTATATTCAGAAATGAGCTGCCAAGACAAAGGATAAGTCTGTACTTTTTTGAATTTCTCACCTCACGTCTTGACTGTTTCTTTGTTAGTTTCATCTCTTTCAACATTTCGTGTCTCTGTTCCATCATCAACGTCCTCTCATAGGTATATGCGTTGATGTCGCTGTCAAGCTGAGAAAAGCAGACAATTCAGAGCATGGCAAATATCAGTACAAACATTGAACTATTTACATCAACATAAAAACAGTGTCACCTCTGAAAGCAAAATTTTGATAGAGTGACCGAACCATCCTGAAATTATGAAATAAAAAAGATTCAAAACCATATGCATGGATGGACAAACTTCTATTCTTCTAGGTAGTATGAAAAGACGGAGAGAGAGAGAGAGAGAGAGAGAGATAGGCTTGTAAACAGACTAGCTACTAACCATTTCAATGACTTCAACTTCAGCTTCTATTCTAAGCAGATGTAAAAACATTTCAAGATCTTTTTTCATTTGTATGCTGTTATCCTCCATCTCTGAGAATTTGATTAAGGTGTTTTTAAACACAATATCATGATAATATGCTCATACAACAAGAACAATGTGTACTCAGATATTGAGACTATCTGAAGTTTCAGCATCACAAAACATAATCACCTCAGTAAATGCTCTGGATAAATCACATTTAGTTATTATTACCTCTGACACTGAAAACAATAGAATTTACCTGCCCATAAAATGATGTATGAATGTGTTCAAAAGTGATACGTTTGAATATCTTTCAAATTTGGTAAATGTGCGACATGTTTACGCCAGACACAGAAGCGCATTATGAAAATAGAATCACCTTCTGGAAAGCAAATGTTCGCACTGCGCACAATGTTCATCCTTGCCATTTCTAGCTGTTATCTCTCATTACGTTATTATTGCAAGCACGGAATAGATGTATAATAGGAAGTTTATTTTGAGAATAATGCAAAGTATGCACTCAGGCAGTACAGCAATATCATACTCTGCTATGTGTTGGTCGATACGGTCAACTTAGTGCTTTTGTGCATACTTTGTGGTATCCTTGTAATAACCTCATATTACTATTATTAGATTTTACACCTTCAGCAAAAATAAATTTCAAGTGAAAATAAAGCATTCCACACTACTAGATTTTAGTGAAAAACAACAGATGTTGCAATGGCAGATTAAGACATCTTGTAAAGCCAACAATTTAGATTTTACTGTTTTTGAAGATTTATTGTGAGCGCCACCTAGAGTTCAGAGTTGTTAATAGTTTGTTTAAGCCATTAGAACCGCGTAGCGGACTGTCTCAAGACGATGCCGCGTAGTCCGACAGAGTTCTTACAGGCATGTTTTAGCAAGTTACTGAGTTTTTGTGAGTTGAATGAACATGAGCAGTGTTGCCAAAATAAACAAGCCAAGACTGGATCTGAGGTGTCCACTTTTGATTGTTATTGACAGAAATCTTGTAAGCTGTAATTCATCACTTCTCGTATCGAGCTTGTGAACAAATGCCCTGTAAGTAAGCCTATAGTTGTTTGGATAACTGTGGAAATTGTTTGCGGTTATACATCTTACTGCAAATCATCAGCAGGTCAAGTTTTTAGGTTTTTAGTTATCATCTATGTAGAGTGTAATTCTGAGACATGTAGGAATGTCTTTTTCGCGAGCATGTCTTTTTTTAGCGAATTTAGCAAGAAAACTGATTTGCTAATTCAACATGTTAATGACTTTATTATAAATTCAAAATGGCGGCCAAACAAAGAAATCAACAATGACAAGAGAGATTCGCTAAATAAACATTTCGCTATTATGTCATTTTACCCAAATTCGCTAAAATTGCATGCCGCTTTTTCAACATGTTTTACAGCAGTGAAGACCAAACTGATAAATAGCAAATATTGTACAACTAGAACTTTTAAGTGATTTTTTTTTCTTTTTTATCGAAACAAAAGCGTACACACACAGAGAAACTAAAAAGAAAACAAAAATGAGATGTGGGCCATTGTGACGATTTCTATTTTGTTCTGTCATGTCATGTGCCATCTCATTGACTCATCGCCTGATGATGTCATTTTTTCCCATTGGTTTCAGCTATCCATGGAGGCTGTGTGTGTGTTATGGTAATTTCATTGGCCACCATACTGAGGATGGTCAATGCGAGAACGGCATCAATGAAGGCATCTTCGCTAGCCAAGGTCTAAGTTTATTCGGCCAAGCCTCTAAACAGACTTTGGCAGGACGACCATCAAATATGCGTATTCTAACAGCGCCCCCAGTAGTCAGTTGTGGCTAATCATTGTCCAATCAGCTTGCGTGTTACAAATCCCTCTTTGGAGTTTCATTTTAAACAAAAAGGCGGCGCCCATGAATCGTGATATTTTGTTTTATAATTTGGTTCGCCCAAGCTGATTGGGCACCTTGTTTCGAGGTGCGCCCAATCAGATCTCACTGCTTAAGATACGCAATTAGCCTATGAGATCCTGCACGGTATCGTGTAGAGGTCTATAGGTCAAAGACATGGGACCGTGCGATTCGGTGGATGCAATGAAGGTATTACCAATCTTACAGTTGGGTGATAACTATAGTAAAAGGATACGTGCCACAGTGAATATCCTAAGTTGACAGTTTTTCCATGTCTTGTGTTGCTTTAGTAGGAATGGTAACAGCATTAACATACCTCCATCATCTGTAAGTTAGCTAGATTAAGGAAATTGATGACACATGTACACAACATAAAATAAAAGTGATGCCACACAGATCAACTCCAATATTTCAGTCAACCAGTCATATCCCTGTCATAATGTTTGATAGCTAAAGTACCCACATATATACTCTCAGTCATTTTCATTATTTTCATTGTAATTCATATAATCAGTAGTACATCGCTTTAATTTTTTAAAAAGTAAGAATAAGAATTAATGTTACAAGCAGCATACTACTCAGCCAATCAGAAACCTTCGTTACATGATTTGAATGCTATAACTGAATATAGAGACTTGGTTCAAGATTATTGGAGGTTAGTCCAACATTATTAGGATTTCTATACCAGTCAGATATCATTACATATAAAGGATACGTACAATCCACCACACGTCTATTGTGCCCTCTTCAAACTTTTCTGAATTTTCAGGAAATAGATGAATGTTCTTTGGTACCAATAACGCATTTTTATTGGACGACACAACCCTAACGGTGTCTGATTAACACAAAACAAAAACATGTATATCAAATATTGTCAAACAATTGGTAATTTAGCCTTATAAAGTAGAAATAAACATAAAAGGGAAGTATTAACACTGTCAGTACAAATCAGAATGCGCTATACTGAATTAAACTGTTTTGGGGATGATATCTGGTAAAATTCAGAGACTATACACCTCAACATGGACATGAGGTAAAAAGTAGCTTAATTATACTGAACAGTAATTTTACAGAGCAGGATCTGTTTGTGTCTGGACCTGTGTGAATCTGGAATGAGGATATCTGGATATGTGTTTATCAGGATCTGTTTGTATCTTGACCTATGTTTGTCTGGACTCCAATCTGATTAAAATCTGATGTAGTGTACAGGCTTTAATTATTTTTTATTACTTTTGTTATTAATGCCTTTTAATTTTATTATTATTTTACTTTGATTTTGATTTCGTGTTTGTTTTTTTAATTCCGCCCTACATACATCTGACCCGATGCCTATGTAACGAGATTTCAATGAGACCCACTATCGACGATTTTAGTCAACGAATCACAGACCTCCTTCTATAGCGCACATGATGACGTCACGGGGCAGAGTCGGGGGCAAACACACTCAAATAAAATGGCGGATTATACAGACGTTAGCGACCGAGAAAAACACAGCTTTTCGGTAAGTTTATCATTGTCAAATGCAACGAAAGTCATTTTTATGTTAATATTGTGGCTCGAATGGTTCGAGTTTAGATCGTTATTTTGTGTAGTTATTTTTCCAGTCGCTTGCCCTGGAGACTGGTGAT